GATGCGGACCCCCTGCAATATTCAAACATGTGCAATTATTATACGTTTGTGGCGCCATTTGTGGAACTGGTTGAAACTGTGTGTCGTCGCCAGCTGAATATTTCATATAGAAATTTGACCCTAAGCCAGATACCATTTGATTTCCACGAAATGTTTGTCGAATAGAACGTAAATCACGAATGAACGCTGACTGTACCATAGCTATTTGTTTATTTAAATCTACATAGACCTGAGTCCGCATAAGATCTTCGGACATTGCTAATTGACTAAGAATTTGAGTTGCATCAAAGGCGACGACAACTTCGCTCCATGTTCTATTGCTAATCGTACAAAATCCTGCGATCAGCTGCCAGAAAAAGATCAATCTCGTTCGAAAATCACCTGCCGATATTAACGTTCTATTTTGTGCAGCAAACATCATATCAATCCACGTTTGTTCAACAAACTGACTCGAACATACTTGATGAAATCGAACTTGAGTGGCAACAAACGCGTCGTAACCAATTCCGACTTTTGTACACGGGCAATGAACACTGTTCGGATACTTTGATGTTAGTACTAGAAATCGTTCGAATGACGGTGAATATTCAATTTTATTCACCAGACGAGTAATCAAAGACGTCGTAATGGTAACTATGATGATAGCTATCGCCAGACAACAAACATAAATACGAGTAGCGAGATATTCTTTGCAAGCAGTTTGATCATTGCTCGACGAGTTTTTGTAGAGATTCAACTGTAAAAAGGCTTGCCAGACGCGTCTTATTAACACAGGTAACATTTTAGACTCAATGCTCGGAGAAGAAAACGTGTTCAATTGTATATGGATACTTGAAAATTAATATGAAACATTAGGAAAAAAAGCAATTACTCTCAATGATACTGAAGAGAAAATAACATATTCTTTTTTTTATCAGGTTTTCATCATTGACTTTACTCATCGATTTGCTTGTGCAGTGGCGAGACACATCGATAGTAAACCGACCCGGTTGATGGAATTTTCTTGCAATCCACATAGGAGTAGATTGTGTCATTAGCGACAAAGTCATGCTTTGTATCGAAATTCGACGCAAGGTAATCTTTCACCGTACCATTCGTTGGTACATATTCATACGATGAATACCGAAGTACAGTATATTCTTGTCCGACTGTTAAATTGCGTATAGTAACAATTCCGTCCATTTCAACAGGTTGTTCATTATAAGCGGGATGTAGATTCGGTTCATTCCACGCAGATACTGATAAACGTACAGGCAACGTCACATGATCTTCGTCTCGAATACCCGTTACGGAAATTCCATAATCGATCTAGCAAATTTTCCAATTCATGAAACGATTCTTTCCGAAAACATATTCTCGACTTACGCCGAACGGTATACATCCACCTTCTCCACAATGTTTCGCACAAGTTTTTCGTGTTGCTATGAAATCATTCTCGTTCATTTGTCGTTCGATCAATTTGTCATGATAAAGATTACAAAAAATCAGTACATCATCCGGATCGTACTGATTCTCATCTCGAAATCGTACGCCGAATGCCGGCATAATATGGTCATAGAATTCATCATGAAAGTATCTTAAATAAACAACGAACATTACCGGATAACCCTTTATAATCGATCTTTTCATCCAACAACAATAATCACGAAATTGCGGTTGAGGTGAATTTTTCCAATTCCATACGTCGTAAGTGAAACCAAGTGCCGATAACGTGTTTAGTGGATCTCGACAATCATTCGTCGATAATTTATGTAAAAGATATTCTCCTTTGTTGATATCACGAACAAGTTGTTGAGAAATCCATGCACCATAGTACAGCCCTAAACATTCTCACACGATGATCATCGAAAAGAATTATTCTGCATACCGAAAGACTGTATAGCTGTTTCACCACAGTATCCGTTTCCGTTTTCCCATTGTAGTCGAGGAGGAATATCAAGTAAAATGCTACGTTGATCAAATTTGTCAGAATCCGTGTTCGCTGTCACTTCCATGTGTCGTAAATGTGATGTCTTCCACTGATAATAATCTTTCAGGTAGTGATGAAATTCTATCTTGCGAAATTCTTTGCCTATGAGTCATTACACGTCTAACAATGCAATAAAAGTACTCTTGATATGTCATCCCGAGCTTTTTACGAAAGTTTCTGATTTTATACATTGAAAGTCATGGATCAACATTCTACTCAGTTATTCGACTGTACGCGTGGTTGAAAAATGATTACTCTTGCTCGCACTTCTGTTCTCTCGTTGTGCTTCGCCAATGTATTAGTTCCTTTTTCTTGACACACTTCACTGCTTTTTTCGTACCACTTTGCAAGCAGTATAGGAGACATACTGTTCGATTGAGTGTTACGAGGAACACGAACGGTCATAAAATTAATCTTTTTATTTCGTAAGAATGTTAATCAGACGTCAACCAAAATATCCAAACAAATTCAAATACGCATCAATTCTTGTGTTGGTCATGTATTTTATTGTTTCCAACATATATACCAGCCAAGCTTACCTATATATTAGTCCCGGAATAAAAATATTGAAAAGCGGACTTCATTTAGTGATATCTTCGATCGCCATTTGCCGACCATATGTCGCAGCTGATAATCGATCCTTTTATGAACGCGATTACCCGCAAGAAAATTTACCACGACGATTATCAAATTCTTCATATGAAAATGTTGTTCGTCAACTACATTCGTTTCGATTAGTGATTCTATCGTGTGCTCGTAACGTTGCATCTAATGTCGATAGATTTCGAAGCCGGAGTGAAGCAATTCTCGACCTATTTCATCCATCATCGTCAGTTCATGTTCTCGAAAGTGATTCAAGTGATGGAACCGCAGAAGTACTTCGTCGATGGTCTCGTGTACAAGTTTACTCATATGGACGTTTGGAACCAAAGTACTATGAGCGCACAGACCGACTTGCTTATTGCCGAAATACTCTGTTCGAAAAAGTATATAATTTAACAGCGGATTACTTTCTTATAGTAGATTTCGATCGATTCTCAACAACTGTGGCGTCATTTTTAACTAATTTTCAGTATGATACTGATGATTGGTCAGTAATGACAGCATCAAGAGTAGATTCATATTATGATATTTGGGCGTTACGCACTCTATCTGATACAATTGTAAACTATGATGTCTGGCATCGAGTTTGGGATTTAGAGGTATCACCCAATAATTATTGTCGTCGATCAGTTAGCGAACAAATTATTGGTATCCATAAGAAACGAATTCCAATTGAACATGGTCTAATTGAAGTACGCTCAGCGTTTGGTGGTGCTGGATTGTATAAAGCGAATGTTACACGAAAATGCCAATACAATGGCAAGGGGCCTACTTGTGAACATGTATCTTTTCATTTATGCATACGAAAAACCTACCAAGGAAGAATATTTATAAACCCGGCATTTCTGGTTTCTTGAAAGTGATTACGAATGCTATTGAACGATAGACTCTTATTGTTTAAACAAAACGATTGGTAAATACTGGAATGCACAGGTTATTACCCATTCTTCAGCAGCAATAATACTTTCGCGAATATAAAGTACCCGTCTTTTTCAGATGATAAACTCTTAACAATATTGTTTTGTTTTCTTTTTGCTTGTCATCGGCAAATATGGGTTATGTACATTAAGAGTACGATAACTTCATTGTTTGATACCTTGTTGGAAAAAAAGCACTTTCTGTATCAGGTTTAAAATAAAAGCGTAGATTATATTCATACTCTGGTAGTAATTACTTATCCACTTAAGAAACGAGCTTCATGTAATCATTGATACTTCTCAATATCATTTACATTAAAAAAACTCTCAAATATTTGTCCATCAGCTTACGTCATACTTCCAATTTCAAATGATTGGAAAGACTTCTTTCTGTGACTTGTAGATATAAAAATCGTGGTAAGAGCAACCTTCTGTGAACGTCTTACATGTATTTCTTTATCATATATTGGCATACAGCTGAGGTACTATGATGACGCTTTAATCTCCTCCAAAAGTATATTTACGTATGTGTTCTTATTTGTTGTTACGAAGACTGAGCAAAGTGAAACTTTCAAGAAAAATATATTCATTGGAATTTAAAAACTGAATTTTTGACTTTTATGTTTTTTATCTTAGAGTAACGAGGTTTTTATCGATATATATATTATGAAACTTATACATAGACAAAATATAAACTTCAACGAAGGTTCTCATTTGATGAAGTTTCCTCGTTGTTATTTACTAAATGTCTTGAATGATATTCTGACAGAAAATAACGATGATTCTCTAGTATTTTAGATTTTTTTTCTACAAGATTCGAGAGTTCCGCTATCGTATATTCATTATTCTGACTTGACCATTCTTTGATCTTAACTGATGTGATATGTCTAAACCATCTGTCAGACCATTGGCTGATAATGTATCAAGTACTGTCGTAACAAAGTGTAAAAAAAGATTTATATATTTCGTTGGTCTTAATACAAAAACAAAGTTTCTTTTTCTCTCAACGGTAAGTCTTACATAGATTAATGATTAAGCGGATTCATTATTCATTGCTTCTCATATTCATACCTTGCGCAAAGACAAAAGCTTGGCGTCGGTTGCAGTAGATCTATTTATAGGTGGAGATACACAATTATGTATATCATATTTTATTTTGAATCGTATAAAGGAACAAATGCGTTTCTGCAATTTATCGTTTTCTTCTATTTCGTTCTCTCTGCTTTCGGACAGAGATAAGAAAGTTCTTTTAATAAGTTATTTGATTGCACACTGATTAGCCGGCGATGTTTTTTTTTGTTTACCCATGAATAGTAGCAACATTGCGTCCTAACGGCAGAACTTGTATTCTTCGTTGACAAATCGTTCTCTTTACTGCAGCGCGAATTTCGCGATGCATATAAATTGAACCAAGTTTCTCGGTAGTTATAGCAACTGTGACAGAAATCACACCCATCGTATACAACAATTCCACATTTGTTAACATGAATAACATATAAGGAACACCACCAAGAAAATAAATACTAAATGATATCATTATGTTACGAAAGATCTCTAAATCACGAACTCTTCGCGTTCTCCGACCTATCACCGATGCTTCATTGCTAGTAGAATGCACTCGAACATTGATTATGATGTATATGACAATAATCAGTACTGTTGGGAGTGTGTAATATGCAATGACAATATAGATCGTGTGTAACATTGCTCTCTTCGGTACCCAACAAAGAAAACCTTCACGAAAATAAATATCGTTCGTGAGAAGAGCTGGAAGTGGAAGAGCGAAGATCACAATCCACACAATAGAAATTGCACACCAGTGTATTTTCAATGAACTCAACCTTCGATGATCACTGGAGAAAATAATGTAGATAAATCTTGATAAGACTTGTAATAAGTAACAATAAACACAAGCGATCATCGCTAGATATCCGAAATAGCCACGCCAACGACATGATTGATCACTTTTGTCCCATGTGAAGAATAGAACATAGCTATAGTTATTGCATTGCACAATGCAATATAGTATGGATGCGAGAGATGTGTTGCATATCAATAGATGCGTTGTAGTGTGTAGGTGTTTTGTCGATAAGACAATGGTTATGATCAAAATGGAAATAAGGACAGCAAGGAGAGCGAAAAAGACGGATATTGCGGCAACGATCTTGTAGTTTTGTGCGCTACGCAATATCGCATCTGTTGTAGAATTCATTTTAAAATGAGCACGAGAAATAGTAACAGGGAATTCTTATGCTTTTTCTCTTTCTATAAAAAATATCTATAGAAGAGGAAAAGTTACTTTATATAATACTCATAATAAGTATTTATTTGAATCTAGCCATATGACTTCTCATTGTGTATGCGACGGGAAAGCATCAAGTTTTTATAAAAGTCATAAGTAACACACGGGTAGTGTGCATACAACGTTATTCTTAGATGAACTTCGCTAGTTATACTCGTCATTTTATTACACTTGAATATCCGTGAGCGACGCCAAAAAAGTATAGTATTGCACTAGCAATCTGTTATATAGACCAAATGTTTATTATTGTTGAAATTGTATTCAAATTTTTCCACGCGAAAAGTTTGTCCAGCTGGTAAGAGTATTTCCTTTTCTGTTGGCAATTGTGACATAGATGAACGATCACTTCCAATCGGTTGTATTGATCTCAAGCGAATGACAAACAGGATATTACCGAACATTTTCGCTATGCGATAGTTTTTCAACGTCGATATGAATTCCAACCATTAAATTTGTGCTCCAACAGCATTGTGTTATTCGTCGATCATGCCGTTAGTTATATTCTTTCCACGATAAACAGTCTTGAGGATAAAGATGCAAGAGAAAGCAATAGAGCCCAAAAGTATCAAATTTACTTTGGTGATCATTTCTCAATGTTATATTGACCAATTTATAGAGAAATGTTTCAAGAGCATAAAAACGAACGGTAGTATATTTGAGAATCAATGATTGTCCTTCGAAGTTCGAACTGTAAAGTCGTTGTGTAAAAGTTTTTCTTCATGTGAAATACCTACGAATCGCACGCTCATAAGAAAAATATCCATGCCATCTGGTGCTTTGAAACATAATAGTGTCATAATCTAAAAACACAATTTCGTGTGCTATAATGTGATTTTTACTCATTCACACTTCTATAAAGACACTGTAAGGCGCACCATCGATGACAAATGATCTTGTTACTGTTTCTGGATGGAAAAAACCTTTCTTCCCGTAGTATGAATAACTTGTCTAATTCTCCGGACTAGCTTGCCAATACCAAGCGATTTTCGTCACAATTGCATCTTCCTTGATTTTAATGACCTTTTCGAGCATATCTATCACTTCCGAGAACTTGGCGACTAGCATAAACGTTACTCCAAGTGAGAAATATGCTGTTAATAAACTACCATTTATGATAACAAAGGGCAAGACTCGGATGATTTGTAGGATATAGTTCTTTTATACAAATTTAACGTTGTTCCATAGAACTCCTTTCCCATGCCATATTCCATCATTTTGTAGTACGAAACTGAAATGTTATTATACGTATTAGCAATGTTGCTCTAATTGACCGGATGTGTTTGTGCATTTACTTGAAGTGATGTAAAATAATAACCAAATGCGGTCGAATACTGCTTCATGGAACAATACATCATACCAATGTTATTGTAAGCAGCGCCTAACGTTGAATAATTTGGGTATTGTGTCGTTTCATAGATTTCAAGACACTTTTCATAAGACAAACATGCTTCGGAATAGTCTTTGATTGCTGTATAATATGATCCAAAATGGTCGTATACGACTGCTACATTCAGATGGTTGCCAAGATGAATTTTCAAGAGTATTTCTAGGCCTTTTTCGCAGAATGTAAGTGGTTCGGAAAATTTACTAGCAGTTCGGGAAGGCGTGCCTAAAATCAAATGTGAAAGAGCTAAATCTGGATGATTTGACAGAAGTAGATTTTGTAGAAGCTTCAATGCTTCTTCATATGATGAAAATGCTTTGGAGAATTTGCTCGTGTTCAGAGGTGTTCGGCCTGTTCTGAGATGAAAGATAGCCAACAAGTGACGATTGAGAGCTAAGATATTGTCACGTCAACAAAGAGATTCATCGTTGAGTTTGTATTGTTTCTTGTAGATTTCCATTCTGCTATAAACGTCTCCGCTATTACTGTTTAAGCAAGCGACTTTTCGTAGAATATAAGTACGATTGTAGTAGTTTCCTTGTCTAGCATATACACCAGCGACCATAATAGTTTCGGAATAGTTACCTTTATTTAGGGAAATTTCTCCAAGCTGATTGTGAGATTCGTGCCTTTCCACAGATGTATCAGTTGTTCGATCGAGTAGTGCATGATTTATATCATCGACTTTTTTCAGCTCGCTCAAAACCGCATGAGAAATCGTCGTAGTCGGTACCACCCTGTCAGTCATACGTTTCTTCTTTCAATCGTTCGGCGAGCTCAGCCAGTTCTTTGTTATGCTCTTCTGTTCATTCGAATTTGACTCGCCAAAGTTTTCCTGTACTGTCAAAATCAAAATGTGACTCGATCTTTCCAATACGAAAAAGCATACGTATTGAAAATAAGATTTCGTTCTCGTCGCTGAAATTACTCAGAAGTTTCACATTCGCAAATGAAACTGTTCTTTTCGATGTGTCAATCGTTAATTCGAATACAATTCCATAGATGTTACTACCAGTCATAATACTTTCAGCAAATGCGCTTGTCACGTCGCGATTATCAGCTATCGATGAGAAATTGTTGAATGATACTGAGCCAGCTTGTATTTTTTGTAATTGTTCAAGTTGGCGATCAAGATCTCGCAGGACAAATCTTATGACAATAATCGAGTCGGATTCTCGCGTTCGTAATCTATGATTGCTAAATGGATACATGAAATAGTCGTTCGTATACCAGCAAAATAGATGTTTCGAGTTGGTATTCTCGTTCTTATTTATCGAGTTTGTCCACATCAAGATAACCAAGCAATTCTTTCATTGATAATTCAGTGTTGTTGAAGACAAGAAGAATTTCTTCGAATAGTTGCGTATACATGAATGAATGATCGATTTAAATGACATCGTCTGTAGGTCATCAAGCTAATGTCAATGAAATTTTCATCGCATCGTCGAATGGCTTGTTTTAGTGAATCACACGGATGATGAAATCGTACACTTCGTTTAGTCGACAGTACGGAAATACTTCCTCATTTTAGACATTAGTTAGATGATCGATATATTCAAATATAGTCGGAAAATATCTCGACCATAAAGCTAATACATTTCAAATCGTTCATTGTTGTTGGGTACAATTGTTTTTGACATTTTTATTTAACTCAAGCCAGACTAGAGCGTAATTTTATATTTCATGGAGATGCCACAGCAAAAATTGGCTGATGGTCTGAGTAGTGCGGTGTTTGATACTGCCGTGTTCTTACTGCTTCATATCTTTTACAACACTTTCTCTATAAAAGAACGGACCAAAACCGACGATGCAAGCTTCTCGCTGTTATCTCAAAACTGCTTATTTTTATAAAATCTTTATTAACCAATATTAGTTTACATAGCAAAAACAATCAGTTTTGCTTGTGACAAAGACATTCTTTCAACCATACTAACATTGTCCCGGCGCAAAGACATGCAGTACATCCGAGACAGCATGCCAACGAGAGTAGTATAGATCCGTAGGAAATGATTGTCATGATATAAATAGCAAAATCATATGTCTTGTATTGTGATCGATTAGGCAACATTTGAGCACAATAAATGACAGCAGTGATGGTGATTATCGGACCGATTATGGCTCCAAATATTGTTAAAACTCCTTCCCATGCTGCAAATATTTTCTCGTCGTTTTCTTCTGAACTCTCGTCTTCCATGTGACAGGCTTTGTTTGCACCTTTCTCCACCATCGGTAAACCAAAAAATGTTGCTAAGACCATCAAAACTTCATAGAACGTATCACGAAACGGTGAGCTTGCATCGAGGAATAGAAAAAAGATTTGCGTTTCAAACAAAGTTCCATATAGAATTATACGGAGTGGTAACGTGCAGCACCCCTTGAGGCATTGTTTCGAATGATTTTCATCACAACTGCACAAACAAGCAATGCAAATGGCATGGAAAAGAACTTCCAGAGAAAAAAATAAGATAGCAACGATCAATAAATTCTTTGTGTTTGTTAATACGGTTAAATAACATGCTAATTCACCAGCTTCAATACATACACTGAAAATTGTTTGGAGAACTGGATGATAAAATAAGGGCTTGAAAAGTGAAACGCCGCCAACACCAAATAGGATGAAGAAGAATCGCTGTTGTGCTGTTTCGTCTAGATCGTTGTCTTTGGCGATGAAATAGATTCCTAGTTGTTCAGCAATATTGAAAATGTCAATAAAAATACGTAGAATACCAACGATTATGAGTCGCTTCTCTTTTTCCACCATACTTATCACGAGTGAAAGGTCTACAAAATTCAAAGTCAAAATCCAAACTTATAAATGAGTTGCAGAGTGCGTTGCAATTCACGTGCTATTGATCCACACTACCAACTCGACATGACACATTTATTTTCATGTGAAGTTGTTCTCTTATTACAAACAAAAGCCTCCATCATAAACATAGCAACCGTTGCCGATTACTGACTGTTGAGCAATAACATTATTTTTTTCTTTTTCTTGGTTTGAGAATGTAGTTGCAAATGGCATTATAAATATCAGTTTGCTTAACAGAAGTTATAATTCATAAATTACTGAGAACAGATTATCTCATGAATGGTTCACTATGCATTTCATCCATTAGCGCACGAGAAAAACATTGCGTCTTATTGGTATAACACGCGTCGCTTCTTGAAAAAAAAAATTTTGTTCACTTTCAGTCGAATTCCGCGATGCATATAAATTGAACCAAGTTTCTCGGTAGTTATAGCAACTGTGACAGAAATCACACCCATCGTATACAACAATTCCACATTTGTTAACATGAATAACATATAAGGAACACCACCAAGAAAATAAATACTAAATGATATCATTATGTTACGAAAGATCTCTAAATCACGAACTCTTCGCGTTCTCCGACCTATCACCGATGCTTCATTGCTAGTAGAATGCACTCGAACATTGATTATGATGTATATGACAATAATCAGTACTGTTGGGAGTGTGTAATATGCAATGACAATATAGATCGTGTGTAACATTGCTCTCTTCGGTACCCAACAAAGAAAACCTTCACGAAAATAAATATCGTTCGTGAGAAGAGCTGGAAGTGGAAGAGCGAAGATCACAATCCACACAATAGAAATTGCACACCAGTGTATTTTCAATGAACTCAACCTTCGATGATCACTGGAGAAAATAATGTAGATAAATCTTGATAAGACTTGTAATAAGTAACAATAAACACAAGCGATCATCGCTAGATATCCGAAATAGCCACGCCAACGACATGATTGATCACTTTTGTCCCATGTGNGGGCAATGAATACTGTTCGGATACTTTGATGTTAGTACTAGAAATCGTTCGAATGACGGTGAGTATTCAATTTTATTCACCAGACGAGTGATCAAAGACGTCGTAATGGTAACTATGATGATAGCTATCGCCAGACAACAAACATAAATACGAGTAGCGAGATATTCTTTCCAAGCAGTTTGATCATTGCTCGACGAGTTTTTGTAGAGATTCAGCTGTAAAAAAGCTTGCCAGACGCGTCTTACCAACACACGTAACATTTTAGACTCAATGCTCGGAGAAGAAAACATGTTCAATTGTATATGGATACTTGAAAATTAATATGAAACATTAGGAAAAAAAGCAATTACTCTCAATGATACTCCAGAGTAAATAAAATATCCTTTTTTTATCAGGTTTTCATCATTGACTTTACTCATCGATTTGCTTGTGCAGTTGCGAGACGCATCGATAGTAAACCGAGCCGGTCGATGGAATTTTTTTGCAATCCACATACGAGTAGATTGTGTCATTAGCGACAAAATCATGCTTTGTATCGAAATTCGACGCAAGGTAATCTTTCACCGTACCCTTCGTTGGTACATATTCATACGATGAATACCGAAGTACAGTATATTCTTGTCCGACTGTTAAATGGCGTATAGTAACAGTTCCGTCCATTTCAACAGGTTGTTCATTATAAGCGGGATGTAGATTCGGTTCATTCCACGCAGATACTGATAAACTTACAGGCAATGTCACATGATCTTCGTCTCGAATACCCGTTACGGAAATTCCATAATCGATCTAGCAAATTTTTCAGTTCATGAAACGATTCTTTCCGAAAACATATTCTCGACTTACGCCGAACGGTATACATCCACCTTCTCCACAATGTTTCGCACAAGTTTTTCGCGTTGCTATGAAATCATTCTCGTTCATTTGTCGTTCGATCAATTTGTCATGATAAAGATTACAAAAAATCAATACATCATCCGAATCGTACTGATTCTCATCTCGAAATCGTACGCCGAATGCCGGCATAATATGATCATAGAATTCATCATGAAAATATCTTAAATAAACAACGAACATTACCGGATAACCCTTTATAATCGATCTTTTTATCCAACAACAATAATCGTGAAATTGCGGTTGAGGTGAATTTTTCCAATCCCATACGTCGTAAGTGAAACCAAGTACCGATAACGTGTTTAATGGATCTCGACAATCATCCGTCGATAGTTTATGTAAAAGATATTCTCCTTTGTTGATATCACGAACAAGCTGTTGAGAAATCCATGCACCATAGTACAGCCCTACTCATTCTCACACGATGATCATCGAAAAGAATTATTCTGCTTACCGAAAGACTGTATAGCTGTTTCACCACAGTATCCGTTTCCGTTTTCCCATTGTAGTCGAGGAGGAATATCAAGTAAAATGCTACGTTGATCAAACTTGTCAGAATCCGTGTTCGCTTTCGCCTCCATGTGTCGTAAATGTGATGTCTTGCACTGATAGTAATCTTTCAAGTAGTGATGAAATTCTATCTTGCGAAAATCTTTGCCTATGAGTCATTACACGGCTAACAATGCAACAAAAGTACTTTTGATATGTCATCCCGAGCTTTTTACAAACGTTTCTGATTTTATACACTAAAAGCGATGGACCAACATTCTACTTAGTTATTCGATTGTACGCATGGTTGAAAAATGATTACTCTTACTCGCTCTTCTGTTCTCTCGCTGTGCTTCGCCAATGTGTCATTTACTTTTTCTTGACACACTTCACTGCTTTCTTTCGTACCACTTTGCAAGCAGTATAGAAGACATACTGTTCGATTGAGTGTTGCGAGAAACACGAACGGTCATCAAATTAATCTTTTTATTTCGTAAGAATGTTAATCAGACGTCAACCAAAATATCCAAACAAATACAAATATGCATCAATTCTTGTGTTGGTCATGTGTTTTATCGTTTCCACTATATATACCACCCAAGCTTACCTATATATTAATCCCGGAATAAAAATATTGAAAAGCGGATTTCATTTTGTAACATTTTCGATCGGCATTTGCCGACCATATGTCGCACCTGATAATCGACCCTTTTATGAACGCGATTACCCGCAAGAAAATTTACCTCGACGATTATCAAATTCTTCATATGAAAATGTTGTTCGCCAACTACACTCGTTTCGATTAGTGATTCTCTCGTGTGCTCGTAACGTTGCATCTCATGTCGATAGATTTCGAAGTCGGACTGAAGCAATTCTCGACCTATTTCATCCATCATCGTCAGTTCATGTTCTCGAAAGTGATTCAAGTGATGGAACAGCCGAAACACTTCGTCGATGGTCTCGTGTACAAGTTTATTCATATGGACGTTTGGCACGAAAGTACCATGAGCGCACAGAACGACTTGCTTATTGCCGAAATACTCTGTTCGAAAAAGTATATAATTTAACAGTAGATTACTTTCTTATAGTCGATTTCGATCGATTCTCAACAACTGTTGCGTCATTTCTAACTAATTTTCAGTATGATACTGATGATTGGTCAGTAATGACAGCATCAACAGCAGATGCATATTATGATATTTGGGCATTACGCACTCTATCTGACACAATTGTAAACTACGATGTCTGGCATCGAGTTTGGGATTTAGAGGTGTCACCCAATAATTATTGTCGTCAATCAGTTACCGAACAAATTATCGGCATCCATAACAAACGAATTCCAATTGAACGTGGTCTAATTGAAGTACGCTCGGCGTTTGGTGGTGCTGGATTGTATAAAGCGAATGTTACACGAAAATGCCAGTACAATGGCAAGGGGCCTACTTGTGAACATGTACCTTTTCATTTATGTATACGAAAAACTTACCAAGGAAGAATATTTATAAATCCAGCATTCCTGGTTTCTTGAAAATGATTACGAATGCTATTGAACGATAGACTCGTATTCTTTAAGCAACACGATTCGTAAATACTGGAATGCACAGGTTATTACCCATTCTTCAGCAGCAATAACACTTTCACTAATATAAAGTACGTGTCTTTTTCAGATGATAAAATCTTAACGATATTGTTTTGTTTTCTGTTTGTTTGTTATCGGCAAATATGGGTTATCTACATTAAGAGTACGATAACTTCATTGTTTGATACCTTGTTGGAAAAAAGCACTTTCCATATCAGGTTTAAAATAAAAGTATAGATTATATTCATACTCTAGTAGTTTTTACTTAACATTTAAGAAACGAGTTTCATGTTGTAATTGATACTTCTCAATATCATCTACATAAAAAAAAACTCTCGAATATTTGCCTATCAGCTCACATCACTTCCAATTTCGAATGATTGGAAAGATTTCTTGCTGTGACTTGTAGATATAAAAATCGTGGTAAGAGCAACTTTTTGTGAACGTTTTACATGTATTTCTTTATCATGTATCGGTATACAGCTGAGGTACAATGATGACGCTTTAATCTCCTCCAAAAATCGATTTATGTGTTCTTATTTGTTGTTGCGAAAACTGAGCAGAGTGGAATTTTCAAGAAAAATATATTCATCGGAATTTGGAAACAGAATTTTTTACGTTTATGTTTGAATCTTAGAGTAACGAGATTTTTACCGATATATACTATGAAACTTATTCATAGACAAATATAAACTTCAATGAAGGTTCTCATTCGATGAAGTTTCCTCGTTATTATTTACTAAATGTCTTGAATGATATTCTAACAGAAGATAACGATGACTCTCTAGTAGTTTAGTTTTTTTTACAAGATTCGAGAGTTCCGCTATCGTATATTCATTATTCTGACTTGACCATTCTTTGATTTCAACTGACGTGAGATGTCTAAACCATCTATGAGACCATTGAATGATAAGGTATCAAGTACTGTCGTCACAAAGTGTAAAAAAAGATTTATATATTTCATTGGTCTTAATACAAAAAAAAGTTTCTTTTTCTCTCAACGATAAGTCTAGCGTAGATTAATGGTTAAGCGGATTCATTATTCATTGCTTCTCATATTCATACGTTGAGCAAAGACGAAAGCTTGGCGCCGGATCGCAGCAGCTCTATTTAAAGGCGGAGATATACAATTACGTATATCATATTTCATTTTGACTCGTATAAAGGAACAAATGTGTTTTTGCCATTTATCGTTTTCTTCTATTTCGATCTCTCTGCTTTCAGACAGAGACAAGAAAGTTCTTTTAATAAGTTATCTGATAGGACACCGATTAGCCGACGATGTTTTTTTTTCTTTACCCATGAATAGTAGCAACATTGCGTCCTAACGGCATAACTTGTATTCTTCGTTGACAAATCGTTTTCTTTACTGCAGCGCGAATTTCGCGATGTATATAAATTGCACAAAGTTTCTCGGTAGTTATAGCAACTGTGACGGAAATCACACCCATCGTATACAACAATTCCACATTTGTTATCATGAATAACATATAAGGAACGCCGCCAAGAAAATAAATACTAAATGATATCATTATGTTACGAAAGATCTCCAAATGACGAACTCTTCGCGTTCTTCGACCTATCGCCGATGCTTCATTGCTAGTAGAATGCATTCGAACATTAACTATGACGTAGATCACAATAATCAGTACTGTTGGCAGTGTGTAATATGCAATGACAATGTAGATCGTGTGTAGCATTGCTCTCTTCGGTACCCAACAAAGAAAACCTTCACGAAAATAAATATCGTTGGTGAGAAGAGCTGGAAGTGGAAGAGCGAAGATCACAATCCACACAATACCAATTGCACACCAGTGTATTTTCAATGAACTCAACCTTCGGTGATCACTGGAGAAAATAATGTAGATAAATCTTGATAAGACTTGTAATAAGTAACAATAAACACAAGCGATCATCGCTAGATATCCGAAATAGCCACGCCAACGACATGATTGATCACTTTTGTCCCATGTGAAAAATAGAACATAGCTATAGTTATTACACTGCACAATGCAATATAGTATGGATGCGAGAGATGTGTTGCATATCAATAGATGCGTCGTAGTGTGTAGGTGTTTTGTCGCTAAGACAATGGTTATAATCAAAATGGAAATAAGGACAGCAAGGAGAGCGAAAAAGACAGATATTGCGGCAACGATCTTGTAGTTTTGTGCGCTGCGCAATATCACATCTGTTGTAGAATTCATTTCAAAATGAGCACGAGAAATAATAACAGGTAGTTCTCATGTTTTTTCTCTTTCTATAAAAAAATATTTGTAGAAAGGGAAAAGTTACTTTGTATAATACTTATAATTAGTATTTCTTTCAATTCAGCTATATGACTTCTCATTGTGTATACGACGGGAAAGCATCACTTTTTTATGAAAGTCATAAATAGCACAATGATAGCGTGCATACAACGTTATTCTTCGATGAATTTCGCTAGTTATACTCGTTATTTTATTATACTTGAATATGCGTGAGGGGCGCTAAAAAAGTATAGTATTACACTAGCAATCTGTTATATAGATCAAATGTTTATTATCGTTGAAATTATATTCAAATCTTTCCACGCGAAAAGTTTCTCCAGTTGGTAAGAGTATTTCTTTTTCTGTCGGCAATTGTGTCATAGATGAAAGATCACTTCCAATCGGTTGTATTGATCTCAAGCGAATGATAGACAGGACATTATCGAACATTTCCGCTATGCAATGGTTTTTCAACGTCGATGTGAATTCCAAACCATTAAATTTGTGCTTCAACAGCATTGCGTTATTTGTCGATCATGACGTTACTTGAATTCTTTCCACGATAAACAGCCTTGAGAATAAAGATGCAAGAGGAAGCAATAGGCCCCAAAAGTATCAAATTTACTTCGATCACCATTTCTCAATGTTATATTTGCCAATCTATAGAGAAATGTTTCAAGAGTATAAAAACGAACGGTAGTCTATTTGAGAATCAATGATCGTCCTTCGAAGTTCGAACTGCAAAGTCGTTATGTAAAAGCTTTTCTTCATGTGAAATACCTACGAATCGCACGCTTATAAGAAAAATATCCATGCCGTCTGGTGCTTGCAACGCAATAGTGTCATAATCTAAGAGCACAATTTCGTGTGCTATAATGTTATTTTAACTCATTCATGCTTCTATAAAGGCACTGTAACGCGTACCATCGGTGACATCTACAAATACGAGAAATGATGAGAGACATGTCTTTTATTCGCCGATCGATGATAGATCAACAAGTGATTTATATATCAGCCAACTTGAAATCATTCGTCACAATTGCATCTTCCTTTATTTTAACGACCTTTTCAAGCATATCTATTGCTTCCGAGAACTTGGCGATTAGCTTATGTATAACCCCAAGTGAGAAATATGCTGTTAATAAACTGCTATTTATGATAACAAAGGGCAAGACTCGGATGATCTGAAGGATGCAGTTTTTTTTAATACAAAGTCAACGCTGTTCCGTAGAACTTCTTTGCTATTCCATATTCCATCATTTTGTAGTACGAAACTGCTATGTGATTGTACGTATTGGTGATGTTGCTCTAATTGGCCGGATGTATTTGTGCATTTACTTGTAGTGATGCAAAATAATAATCAAATGCGGTCAGATACTGCTTTATGGAGCAGTACATCATGCCAATATTATTGTAAGCAGCGCTCGCAACGTTGAACAATTTAGGTTCTGTGTCGTTTTCATGTATTGCAAAATACTCTTCATACGGCAAACATGCTTCGGAATAGTCTTTCATTCCTTTATAAAGTGATCCAAAATAGTCGTATGCGACTGCCACATTTAGACGGCTGCCAGGATGGCTTTTTAAGAGTATTTCTAGGCCTTTTTTGCAGAGTGTATGTGATTTGGAAAATTTATTAGCAGCACGATCACGTAAACAAAGAGATTCATCGTTGAATTTGTATTGTTCGTTGTAGATTTCCGTTCTGCCATAAACGTCTCCGCTATTACTGTATAAGCAAGCAATAGTTGGATGCAGTTTTGGAAGTACTCTTTGTTGAATAGCAAGCGACTTTTCGTAGAATATAAGTACGATTGTATAGCTTCCTTGTCTAGCATATACACCAGCGACATTAATAGCTTCGGAATAGTTACCTTTATTTAGGGAAATTTCTCCAAGCTGATTGTGGTGTTGAATGAAATTAAGCTACCTTGTATTTTTTTGTAATCTTCAAGTTGTCGACGAAGATCTCGCACGAAAAATCCTATGGTAACAATCGAGTCGGATTCGCGTGTTCGTAATCTATGATTGCTAAATGGATACATCAAATAGTCGTTCGTATACCAGGAACTGGATGTTAAGAGTTGGTATTCTCGTTCTAGGTATCAATTTTGTCTAATTGTATATACATGAATGATTGATCGATTTGATTGGCATCGTCTGTAGGTCATCAAGTTAACGTGAATGAAATTTTCATCGCATCGTCGAATGGCTCGTGTAAGTGAATTACATAGATGATGAAATCGTACACTTCGTTTAGTTGACAGTATGGAAATACTTTCTCATTTTAGACATTAGTTAGATAATTGACACATTCAAATATAGCCGGAAAATATCTCGACCATAAAGATCATACATTTCAATTCATTCATTGTTATTGGGTTACAATTGCTTTTGTCATTTTTATTCAACTCAAGTCAGAATAGAATGTAATTTTATATTTCATGGACATGCCACAGCAAAAATTGGCTGATGATCCGAGTATAGCGCAGTGTTTGGTACTATGCCCTGTTCTCAATGCTTTATATATTTTACAACACTTTCTCTATAAAAGAACGGACCAAAAGCGACGATGCAATCTTCTCGCTGCTATCTCAAAACTGCTTATTTTTAACGAATATTTATTAACCAATATTAGTTCACATAACGAAAACAATCAATTTTCCTTGTGACAAAGACATTCTTTCAACCATACTAACATTGTCCCGGCGCAAAGACATGCAGTGCATCCGAGACAGCATACTAACGAGAGTAGTATGGATCCATAGGAAATGATTGTGATGATATAAATAGCAAAATCGTACGTCTTGTATTGTGATCGATTAGGTAACATTTGAGCACAATAAATGACAGCAGTGACTGTGATTATCGGACCGATTAGGGTTCCCAATATTGTTAAAAGTCCTTCCCATGCCGCAAATATTTTCTCGTCGTTTTCTTCTGAACTCTCTTCTTCCATGCGACAAGCTTTATTTGCACCTTTCTCCACCATCGGTAAACCAAAAAATGTCGCTAAGATCATCAAAACTTCGTAAAACGTATCACGAAACGGGGAGCTGGCATCGAGAAATAGAAAAAAGATTTGCGTTTCAAACAAAGTTCCATATAGAATTATACGTAGTGGCAACGTGCAGCAACCCTTGAGACATTGTTTCGAATGATTTTCATCACAACTGCACAAACAAGCAATGCAAATGGCATGGAAAAGAACTTCCAGAGAGAAAAATAAGATAGCAACGATCAACAAATTCTTTGTGTTTGTTAATACGGTTAAATAACATGCTAATTCACCAGCTTCAATGCATATACTGAAAATTGTTTGGAGAACTGGATGGTAAAATAAGGGCTTGAAAAGTGAAACGCCGCCGACACCAAATAGGATGAAGAAGAATCGTTGTTGTGCTGTTTCGTCTAGATCGTTGTCTTTGGCGATGAAATAGATTCCTAGTTGTTCAGCAATATTGAAAATGTCAATGAAAATACGTAGAATACCAACGATTATGAGTCGCTTCTCTTTTTCCACCATACTTATTACGAGCGAAAGGTCTACAAAATTTAAAGTCAAAATCCAAACTTATAATTGAGTTACAGAGTGCGTTGCAATTCACGTGCTATTGATCCACATTGCCAGCTCGACATGACACATTTCTTTGCAAGTGAAGTTGTTCTGTTATTACAAACAAAAACTCCATCATAAACATAGCAACCGTTGCCGATTTTTGACTATTGAGCAATAACATTTTTTTTTCTTTTTCTTCGTTTGAGAGTGTGGTTGCAAATGGCATTATAAATATCAGTTTGTTTAACAGAGGTTCTAATTCATAAATCACTGAGAAAAAATTACTTCATGAATGGTGCACTATGCGTTTCATCCATGAGCGCACGAGAAAAACATTGTGTCTTATTGATATAACACGCGTCGCTACTTGGCAAAAATGTTTGTTCACTTTCAGTCGAATTTTGCGATGCATATAAATTGAACTAAGTTTCTCGGTAGTTATAGCAACTGTGACGGAAATCACAGCGATCATCGCTAGATATCCGAAATAGCCACGCCAACGACATGATTGATCACTTTTGTCCCATGTGAAAAATAGAACATAGCTATAGTTATTACACTGCACAATGCAATA